ACCTTTGGGGGCTCGGCCGAGCGAGCGGAGCCGGGATCTGAGCGAGCGCCGGGGCCAGCGGAGCCGGAGCCTCCGGGACATGGGTGAGCACGCGCGGCGACCTTGGCCGGGGAGCCACGGGCCCCCGCGCGCCTGGGGAAGGGGGCGGCGTGTGTGCCCGGCATGCAAAAGTTCACGTCGCCTCGCCAGGGCTTTGACTTTGCACTGGGCGGGAAAGGGGAGAGGGGGCCCGGGAACAGGGGTGCGGGAGCTGCTCGGTGGCCTGGGCTGGGTGAGGGGCTGGGCGGCCCCCGGGTGGGCAGCGATGCGGGCTGGCTGAATTGGAGTGACCCCATGCTGGCGGCGGTGGTGGACGGTCGGGCTGGAGGAGTGGGAGCTTGTTTGAGTTTCACCTCGGTGGATTCCGCCTCCCCCCCTCCGCCCCCTGGTTTTTACACCCTCCCTGGGGGAGTCCTTCCTGGGCTGCCTGGGCGGGCGCCTTTGGCGTTGGTGAAGTAGACTGGACTGCGGAGCAGGATGGGGCAGGGACCGGAGTGGGAAGGCGGCAGATGTATGTATGCATGTACGTGTATACACACACACATCCACAGCGATATATTGGTTTCTTTGTAACTTGCAGGTTAAGCGGAGCTAGTGAGCTGCATTGTAACCTAGTTGGATTTCTTTCTCTTTTGCGTCTGGGATGGGGTGGGGTGGCGGGGGTGTGTGTGCTGTGAGGAGGGGGATGCAGCAGAATCTAACGTGTCCTTAATAGAAGTGGTGCCGCTGGCGAAGGTTGGTGTGTGCTTGTGTTGTGGTCCTGTGTTAGTCTTTCTCTGACGTTATTCATCCACGGATGCGAGTTTCTTGCTTGTGTTGTCTACTTTGGGGACTCTGAAAACACAGGAATTCCCTTAGAAGCAAGACGAATGCCTTTTTAGGGTGTGTATATGTGTGTTGTGGGGGTAGGGGGGAGCACGCATTGTGTGTGTGTGTGTGTGTGTGTGTGTGTGTGTGTGTGTGTGTGTGTTTCTAGTAAAGGCAGGGGCTTGGGAAGTAGCGGCAGGCTTCCCCGTTTGGTGGTTTCTAGTGGGAAATCACTCCGGAAAGGAAACCCTTCCGTATCGATTTATTGTTTTTGTCTTGCCAACCGTTATCCTGTGGACCAAACACACTGGCCGAGAAGTTCCACCGAGACAAAGTGAGGCAAACTGGACCCAGCAGATCTTGAGCAAGCTGGTGATAGCGGTGATGGCTGTTTTTAGTGTCCGTTTGTGATGGAAGCATTGTTGGGTAAATAGAAAATTCTGATCGGTAGAGCATGCTGGTTCTTTAAAAAAATAGTTGCTGTCTAAAATGCTGTTTTCTTGTCCTGGTCCCTACAGTCTGCAGGCTCCACTCCTTATTCCCCAGCCCCCCACCCCTTTAGACCAATTTTGAAATTGGATCCAAGTGGAAATATTTTCATTGGAGATCGGAAAGTAGTGTAATTGGAAGTAGGAAGGTGATAAGGCTGGAGCTGCTAGGGGTGTGTGTGGGGGGTGGTGGGGTGGGGGGTGGTTCTCATTGCTTCGGATGCTACGTGTATTCTTCATGTGTGTCTGTGCAGATTGTGTGTGTTTCTGGCTTAAAGGGCTGTTGAGGGAAGGATTTCCGATTCGTTTCCGCTTCAAATAAACTGTCCCAATAATCTCATGGTTGACGTCTAATGCTAAAAGGGCAATTGGTGTCTCTTCCCCAGCAGCTCCCCTCCAAAGGGGCCGTTTATTATGCGATTCGACAGCAGCTAGTTGCCCTTGTCATTCTCACCCATACCCGGCTCCCCATAACTATTAATACCGCCCCCCCTGAAAGTTTGGTCGGAGTCCAAGGCCCCTAAAGAAACAGAGGTGTTCTCAGCTTACATTGTTTTTCTTCTCTCCCTTTTCATTCCTTTGCTCTCTGTCCCAATTTCCTTCCTTTCCTTGTGGATTGGTACGAAAAACGAATTCCATAAAGTAGCCCTCACCATAAGATATGACAGTTTGGCCTCCATCCCTTACCTACTTAAAGATCAGACAGGTACAGCCCCTGGGCTTCTTGCAAATGCATGTTCATTGGCAAAATGGCTTGAGTGTGTGCGCGGGGGTGGGCCCCTGATGGGGGGAGGGGGCGTGGAGGGGGTTGGAGAGGAAGGGTGTTGCTCTGTGACTGCCACATATGCTACTCTGGGACCAGCCCCTGGCCCCTTTCTGGGAGAGTTTCCTTTGCACAACCCAGTAAGATGCTGCTTGGCAGGGATGGGAAGGCGGGGCCTAGCGGCCTGGGGCGTGGAAGGGCGGAGAAAGTTTGTAGCACTTTAAAATGTAGACAGTTTACAGCCCCTCCCCTTTCTCCAGCTAGCTGTGGCTTTCTGGGTCCTTAAACTCCCCGAGGGGAGGCGGGTTAGCTTCTGCCCAGCCATGGCGTCCCTGGGCTCAAGAGTGGAATGGATGGTTGTGCGTTTTGTGTTGTGCTTAAAAGGCTGGCTTGCTACTTGAAAAAGGGGCTTAGGAGAGGGTGTTGGGCTCAGAGCTGAAGAGGAGGAATCGCCCAGGCATGGCTGAGCAAAGAGCATTTGCCAACTGTAGGGACAGTAGCCCAGGAATTCTTGGTTTGGAGAATTGGCACCTGGAGCATTGTGCCCGAAACAGAATCCCCCCACCGCAACGCCTTCCCCCCTCATTCTAAAAAAGCCTTGGTCTTGGGGAGCTGCAGTATTTTCTGAGCAGGGTGCTGGGTGAGCTGCAGTCACAAAAGTAACCCGAGCCTGGGGAGGAGGGGCGAGGGACCGCAATTGCGAGCCCGAGGAGGGAACTCCAAAGTGTCTCTCAGCAGGGAAAATAGAGGTGACGCGGGAGTACACGGACTGGAGGTGGGGGAGGGGATGACTTGTCCGGGACTGAAGGAGGAGCTTGTTGTAGAAGGTTAGGAAGATGGTCACTTGCCGCTTTGGAGAAAACTCTCTACTGCCTTCTAAGTTCATGAATGGGCCAGGCAAGCGGAGGATTGTGATGTGCGTCCCTTTTGTGTGTGAGCATCTGAATCCTAGCATGGATCAAGGATATGGAGTGGAGCTCAGGGCCGCGTTTCCCTGCAGAAGGTTCTGCTAGGAGTTCCCCTTTGGATTTCAAACTCAATAGACAAGCAGAGGGACACCCTGGCTGATCCAAATAGTCGCATAGTGTCCTTATTGCCAGGCCCTGTAGAGAGCTCCTAGCAAAGGGTTTTGTAAATAACCGGACCCCAAAGGAGGGTTATAGAGGGAAGAAAAAATAGTGCATGAAATCGTTGTAAGCAGGCACGGTGAAAATGGTCAGTTGGGAGAGGCAGGGGGCAGAATTTTGCTGAAGAAGAAATAAATAAATAGGTAGACATTTCCCCCTGGAGTCCCTATTCCATGTCTGCTGTTATCTTGACTTTCAATTCCATTAGGGCCCGAATCGATACTGCTCTGGCACAAACACGAGGGTCTATGAGAGGAGAGTTCCTCTCAACCTGGCCATTATTTTTATTGGTACTTTAATCTCTGCTCCAAAACTCCTGTAGAATATGCAAAGCGAGGAAGATGAGAAGTAGCTAGACGGATGGGACATCCTTTCTGGGTTCCTGCGGAGCCACTGAAACTTGGCAGGGCCTCAGAATGCCAATTTTCCCCTTGGAGACTTGAAGGTTTAATTGAAACCAGAAAGCTCTTGGAGGCGGACGCAGCCCTTGAAACCAACCCTGTTTTCTCTGCTGCTCAGGAATGGGGAATAATTTTTTTTTTTTTTGCTGATGGCATTTCAAGTCCTTTTAGTTTGACTGTTGCCAAAAGAATGGGGTAACTTATCATTAACACATTAGCATTGGAAGGAGTTGTCTTGCCCTCAGAAATGGGAGGATGTTCGTGAGTTTGCCCAGAGATGGGCCCCTGGAGGAGTGAGTCCTTCCAGGGGATAAAAAGACTGCGCTTGTTGGATAGATCGAAGCCCTGGTGGCATAGTGGTTATGAGAAGGGTCAGCAGTTTGAAACCACCAGCCAATCTGAGGGAGAAAGATGAGGCTTCCTACTCCCATAAAGAGTTACACTTGTGGAAGCCCACAGGGGCTGTTCCACCCTGTCCCATGGGGTCATCCCTACTGTCAGAGTGGACGCCATGGCGGTGAGTTTGGTGCTTTGCTTTGGTTGCTTCTGACGGTTAGCAGCACCGTGCAGAAAACGAAAGAAACTCCCAGAAAAAGGGACCCGTGGGACTCCTGGGGCCTTCATTCTGAATCCTTATTCTTTGGTTTCAGGGACAAAACAAACCAAACTCACTGTCGTCTGGTCAATTTCTACTCATCGGGACCCTCTAGGTTAGGCTAGAACTGCCCCTTATGTGGGTTTCCCAGACGGTAACTCTCAACAGGAGCAGAAAGCCTCATCTTTCCCCCAGGATCGGCTGGCCTTGCAGTTCGCAGCCCAGCGGGTCACCACTAGGCCATGGGGCTTCCTGGATCCAGGGAAGAAGGGAGCAGAATGTCTGGCTTCTATTTCTGTCCTGTGGCACAGCGTGAAATCTGGTGAGATGCCCCATATGCTGGTGACCAGGACGGAACAAAGCTCCGCAAGCGCACAGCACGTGTTGTCTTAGGTGCGGGCTGTCTCCCACAGCCACCTTTCAAGGTGACTCTTGCCTTTGACCACTCGTTCAGGGAACGGCAGGCATGTTGGCCAGCCAAAGGGTTGGTAGGTGCAGAGAAGAAAATTCCAAGGGGCTCACAGATTGGACTTTGTGTGTTCTCACTTCCAGATTTCTTCTCTAACTAGACATTGGTGTTCCCGTGGAGACACCATGTTGGGACAGCATAAGGTTTGGGGACAACATGTGACCTTAGATCCCTGAGGCCCACTGGGTGACCCTTCCCGTCCTCATCTAGAAGTGTCCCAGGTTCAAGCAGCAGCTTTCTTTTCAGCATTGGCTTTTGGTTTTTCTTTTGGGAAGGTGAACTCAAGTGTAAAAATGATCCTGGACATAGTGCTGAGCTGAGGCAGCATTTTGTTCCCTTCTATAGAAAGTTGCCTGTCCTTAGGTGGCACCGATGATTAAGTGCTGATGACTAG